CGCCCCGCAGGCCCGTCCTTCCCGTCTGTAAGAGCCTCTCCGGCTCCCGGAGCCTCCGGCTTCCCAACAGCAAGCGCTTGGGGTGGTGGCGGGGGGTGTCAGTTGTCTTTAGCGTGGTCTGTCTCTGTGTTCCGTCAACCGAATGTGTTTTCTTGCTCCTTACACAGCAGAGTCAGGATTCATCTCCCTGCACATCTGTTCAAGCAGCGAGTTGTTTCATGAAATGTGTTGAGAACAACCCGAGAGAATATTATTTGCTGGTCAGCTGCAAGGATCAGCCCTTCCCTTCTGACTTGCTGTGGGGCCACGCAAAGTTATGCCAGCGCAACTGAAGGGCTGAGCAGAGCAGGGGTCAGAGCTGGGTGGACGTTTCCTGTACCAGCATTGCTACTGAATGCTTTTTACTGTGATCGTGCCACAACATCAGTAACAGAAATCAAGTCTTTTTCATGTGGCATAGGCAGAATTTGTGCATGATTTAATCCGAATCTGTATTTTTGCTGCCTACTGTTAAAACATTTGATTTGGATAATTGACTGCGGTGACTCACGTGTAGGAGCAGATTCAAAGAAATTGGTGTTCATTTACTTTAATAAGTTTGTCAGTAGCCTGCAGCAATCATGGCTTGATTCGTGATGTATCCCTGCAGTAGAAACAATAATGTCTATAAGAGTGTTAGGGTAGAAAGCTGAAAATTATAATCTCTTTAACCAGCCCAGCTCTATCATCTAGCACATATGAATCACTGCCCTAATAGAGGGGTCCTAGTACGAGACAGAGGGAAGCTGAAACTAGTGGATTTCTCGGCTGTCCCTCTTGTAGCTCAGCTTAATGTATCTTCTGTTTCCAGGTCATTAAATATTTCTGCCTCTGCTTCCTGTGCACATTTCCCAAAGCTTTAGGATACTTAAACTGTAGGAGTGGATATCATATAAGGAGGGAATAAACACACACTAATGGTATACTTTTCCATATAACTAAAGGAAAAAATATCGTGCATCCAGGACCAAAGAATAGCATCCTACTTTTAGAGTGGGAAATGCATCATGGAGTGATGAAGTAGTGGCTCTAAACAGGATTCGAGGTAGGTGGTCAACTAAAACATATTATCTCAGTGCAACGTTAATTCAGAGGTCCAAAATAGATCTGAAATGAATAAACAGGGGGATTTTGAGTAAAAATCTGTCTGATTCTGGAAAGTTATGTCCAATTCTAATCTTAGCAAGTTAGAAAGTCTTCTGATAAATTGGGGTTCAGTGACCAATCACAGCATGATTAAAGGACAGGAAACTATGCCTTTTCATCGGCTTAACAAAAGCTTTTTCTGTTTTGTAATGGAGACTTACAAAATGAAGAAGGGGGGGATCCAAAGAGTTCCTGTGATTGAAATTTAGAACTGGTGTAATTTAGTCTGCTCAGAAATGATACTTAACCTGTAAATGGTCACTGGAACAATTTACTGAGGGGATGCAGTGAATTCTTCACTAATGTAAAGTACCTAATCAAGGCAGTATTTTCCACTGCCTCACAAAGGGTTGTTCACTTTTAAACAGTGTAAATTTAAGGACCTCTTGTAGGAACAGGGAGACATCATAAAGACACTACTGGCTCCTCTTCTGAAAATCAGTAGTGCACCCTGATTTATGGAAAAAGAATAGAGATTTAATTTCCTAATTGTATAGATTTTGGAAGTCATCAGTGTCTGTTCAATAGTAGGAAGAATATTCTGCTTAGTAGTAGTGGATTTCCGTAATCCTCTCCTTGAATCAGTCTCCCTTATTCACTTAGGGAGACTTTGGAGCTTAAATATGAGATGTTTAAAGAGTATTGTCTTAAACAGTGACAAAGCCTAGAAGCAGTAGGCTTTGAAATCATGATTCTTTTATGTGGCCATTAGAAGTTTTTTTTAGAATTTGCCATCCTCTCAGAGGAGAAAGAATGTTCCCTGCAGGACCAGTAGTGTGGTACCGGGCTAAATGGCCTCCAGATAAGACAATGGTTAATTTTTTTTTTTTTTTAAAGAGGTGGCTTTTCCATGTTAGGATTTGAGGCTAGTCATACACGGTTTGGACTGGCTTGCATTATAGCTACTTCTTGCACTGTACATTTATGAGTGAGTGCGTTGCTTCAGTTTTCAGGGCTATTCTGTCTTTCATCAGCAAAAAATTCATGTATGACTTCAAAACAAATTGCAGTCTTAGCTAATAGAGGCATTTGACCACCTGGGAAAAAAAAAAAAATCTCTGACTCTGCTGAACACTTTAATCAGAAATATTTTAAATACACATTTTTCCCTTGTTTCTTAATAGGAATATTTGCAAGATCTTTGCTTCTTCATCACCAGAAGTTCCAGTTAGTTCTTGTGGAGATGGCTGGGAGAGCCTCAAAAAGAGGATTATGAGGTGGGAGGGGGACGTGAGGAGAGATGCACGTGAGGTGGCAGTTTTCAGCAGCAGTGATTTGAGAGAGATTGCTGATGGCCTTCTTCCTCCACGCTGGAAGAAGCAGGATGAAAGGTGTAAGGACTTCTGCGTAATACAGAGATATCTTCTGAAGTCTAGTGACTGGTTTATTTCCTTCTGCTGCCCAAGATGGACCTGCTGTAAGCTTCGCGTTCAGTTGAATTGGAGAAATACTGGTTAACTGTTTTTGCAACATTCCTGCATTTGGTGTTGTCAGGACTTGATGCTGTCTTGTGTTCTAGGAGGATGATGGCTCAACAAACAATCCTATTGTCACAAATGCATAAATAGTTCAGCAAGAAATGTAACAAAGGCACTCTGATACTACAGAAACAATAAGCAGCAGGGACAATAGAACGTCTTGGGAAGAAATGTCTTCTGTTGAGGCCAGCATCATCTGGAGAATTGAAGTGTTCTAAATAGAGAAATGGCTTTTAAATAGATTTTCTGTGATGCTGCTGCAGGTCTTTGAAGAATGAAGATCATTGGCTGATGGGTTCTATTAATGTTCCTCGGTGTTTCAGATAAACATCTGTCTTGTGCTTTGACCAAAAATTTATATAAATTTCGAGTGCTTGATCTGAAAGAGAGTTTTATCAGCACAGATGGTGATACTTAGCCTTTTCCCAGTACAGTAGTCTCTGGGTCGTGACGGTTTTAGACTTGAGTGCTGTCATTCTTCTGATACTCGATACCTGCATTTTCTGCTGGGCAATCAAAGCACTGTATTTCGGTCTCTAACAGATTTAGTTGAAGAAAGTTCCACCTTTAATTTTCTGTTGTACCCCTGTGCTGGAGTTTACTGTCTCCATTTCAGGTCCAGCTCATTATGTTGTGCCTCTTGAACCCAGTTTTATAACGCAAAGAAAGAACCGCATGTATTGTTGCATCTGTCTCTGCTGTTGGGCAGTAACTTCTGGCAGTGGTGAACATGTAAACCACCTCAGCCAGCGTAGCAAAATCTGCAGGTGGTCTATGAACTGAAGCCTGTTGTTACTCAGTCTCTTCCTCAGCATATACTAATAAAAAGAAGCAATTCCACAAGCAATGAGGCTACTCGCTCTTGGTCCAGACTCTTTTAATCATTGGTTGTGAGATCAAACCAGTGCTGTGTTATCTTTCTACACTTGTAGGCAGATTTCTGCCTTTCTGTAACTGCTGTATTTTGGGGGACAAAACAGTGACCAATGCAAGGGCAAAGCTGAAAGAATTGAGGAAAATGTAGTAAAAGCTTGTTTCTTTTAAGAAAGTGATACAACCTTGTGTACAAACACAGAATGGATTTCTTTGCAGTCCTTACCGGGAGGAAAAAAACACTTTTGTTTCCAGTCTTTATCCATATTTTGTCAATTTGACCAGTTAAATTATACAAGCTACATGCAATATTTTCTTTAGAACATTCTGTCTGGCAATGTGGAGACAAAATTCTATTCTAAATTTAGTTATCTTTGATGGAGCATTGCTTTTTATTTTCTTTAAAGGATATTATAAATTCTGAATTAAAAAAAGTTATAAAAACCCCTTTTCATGATTTCATATGATGGAAGTGTGTTTAAGGAAATGATCAGATAGGCAGATTGAATACTAAGACACTGTGGAGTAATACAGTTAGTAATATGAGGATCTTTAATTGGATCATAACTTGTTTGTCCTGATCTACTAGATTAGTGGCAAGCTTCCCTTACTCTGAGTAACTCCCTCTGACCTCATCTGCAGTCTCTGAGCAAATAATCCTGTGGATATTGTGCCCTCCTTTCTATGGGGATTCTGACTGTGAAATAAGTTGTTTCCTTAGGATAACCATGGCAGTAAAACTGAAAGTAAACGATCTGAAAACCATTCCAGCAAGTGCTTTCTGATTGACAGTGTTGTAGTTAATACTTCTGTTGCTGATATCAACAACAGGTCTAGAGGTATTGGCAGTCCTGCAGGCAAGTGGCTCCAGGCAGCATACTCCCACCAGGATTTTACATGGATGCGGCTAGAGGAAGAAAGGAAAGCGAAACCAAGTGGGTGATACTTATACTTTGGTAAGCTTGCTTTTCCTTACCAAAGTGACCCTGCTGGATCCTGCCACCCCTTCTTGCTCTGGGGACTACATGGTATTGTGTGCACTAGAGGATCAGCAGTTGCAACAATTTCAGCTGCTGTCCTGGAAATCCGTGAAGATACTGCTCCAACGCTGCAGTGCCAGGATGTTGCCATGTGCCTGCTCACACATCTGTATTTGAAGGAACCACAAAGGCCTGTTGTCAGTAGGCCTCGCTCCCAGCAGTTGCTCTGGTCACCAGCTGGGTGACTGTGTATTGATAAATCTGGGACAATGTTAAAATGCAACTGTGGAGTTGGGTTAAAGTTTAATTAACTAAACCATTGAAGATCATTTGAATACCTCCTCAATTTTATGGGAGCAGTTTCAGCCAGACCTCTTTGTGTACTAATGAGTTTTCCCTACCAAAGGTCTGTACCTTAATATCTCTGTGGGTAGGTAAGATCTTACTGGTCAGTGGAGTGCTAGGTAGTTCTTGTAATCACAAGTACACACAGAATTTGTACAGAATGAAATATCTTTCCCAAAACCCCAACTTTATATCCCTAAATTTCAGGTTGCTCAATGTATGTGGAAATTGTAATCTGGTAAAACTCAGGGAAATACTGAAATTGCTATAGTACATTTATTTTCTGCTACTTTATTTTTTAATTTTATTTCAGCTTCAATAAATGGTATTGTGTGTTTTACATCTTACATTGTTTTTCCTTTCACCCATCATTATCTTGCCCGCTTCCAAATGAAAGAACAGAGGTGTTCTGAGATGGTGGGTAGGAGAATTGAAATGTGTGGGCAAACAAGTGGCAGATTCTCTTTTCTTTTGGGTTTAGTTATGTTAGGAAGATAAATCACTAACCATTACATTTTCTGGCTTGGGTGCCATCATGAGAACCTGGTGGGGAATTAAAGAAAGACATTGCTAGCAGAGAACTAAAAGTGCTGCACAGAAATGAGCATTTCCTACATCTGCTGTAGTAGAATCAGCCAGACGTGGCAGTGTGAATTCCAGATTTGTAAGAAGGGTGCTGTTTTTCCATGGCTTTAGCTTTGTAGAGAGGATTACTTGATGAAATTCTGGGCCTCTCAAGGATAAGAAGGGAAACTCTGTTTGGGAGGATTTAGAGGTGAGCTCTAACTTCTAATTTGTGGGGGGATTCAAGTGCCTCCTTCTCACTTGTGTCGCTGGCAGAGTTCCCTTTACTCAGAGGACTTCAGTGTTCTTCAAGATTTTATTCTAGCTATGTTTTGCCAGACATACTGTTGTAGCCTCAGAAGACAGCTTTTCTAGTCCTTGCATAGCTGGTTATTTGCAAAGATCTCTGCATTACCTTAAAGGTGGAAAGATGATCCTGAACCTGATCCTCTCTGCAGGCAGAGCTCCAATGTATGTAACTGAAGAAGGACAGACCATGATGTTCATGTGTCCTTAAATGTGAGCGTAGAGTATCTTAGGTAAATGAGAAGACAGATGGATAGGCCCATGCAAATGTAATATAGAGTACTGTGGAACAGTAGTGGGGTGGCTCGGCTGAAACACGACATCCTTATGCTGGGGATGCTTCACCAAAACCTCTGTAGCAATGTAGTCCTTTCAGAAGTGGTTCTGTTGCTTTTAAGGAAGGTTGTTTTAAGGGCACGTTTTACTTTATATGGCAGAAATTCTGTTTTTGGTTGCTACCTCAGCATGCCCTGATTCCTGCCTATGGCACTAAGTTTGCTTAAAAATAAAGCATTTCAGCCTGTGAGAAGCTAAATTATATATATTTAATAAAGGGGGTTCCTCTTGAAATTCAGTGGCTTGTGGCATGCAGAGGATCAAAGGGGATCATCAGATAGTCCCTTTTAGTCTTTAATGTGTCAATTCTAGGGTACAAAGAGATCATGTGGAAGAGAAGCAAAGGAATTCAGGCTAAGAAAGAAAACCGTGAAGTGTAAAGATACACAATAAAGTCTCTTGTGGCAACATAGACTTATCCATCATGATCTCTGGGAAGCAATGACTGGAGATACTTTTGTGCAGTTCACTTTTTATGTGCTTCATCAGGCAAACCACCAGCACAGATGTCTCACGATGCTCCTGGTTTCAAACGAACCGTGACGTAATGGGTTGTATGTTCAGAGTCTTGTTGTTAACTTCATTGAGACAATGTGTGGATTTACAGTCAGAAGGATGGAAGATGTGGCCATGAGAGGGGCATGAGGTGGTGCAAATGGCAGTATTACAGCCCTTGAATGCCCATGGTAGTTAGGCAATGTGGAGACTTTTTATTATACAGTGACTGAATATTCCTCAGAAAGTCCCCTTTTGTGCTGTAACAAACCAAGTGGTCAAGCAATTGGAATATTTGGCAGATGTGACACTGAATCTCAGTTCATATTGGATTCTCTGCCTGAGAATGGATGGTTAGAGGCAGGTCAAAAGTTAGACATGCTCTCTATAGCTGGGATATAGACCTGTTGGGGAACCTGGCAGATGATTATTACTACATATAGCTTATAACTGATTTTAATTTTTTTAAATTTTCGTATTTTATTAATTTATGTTTTTACTGCTACTAGAAGACAGTGGTATTCTTGTAGTTCCCATGGCATTTCATTTTGTTTCTGTTGAAGCAGAAGAAGCAGGGTTCTAGACCCAGCATAGGAGCAGGGGAATAGAAACCTAATTTTTCTTCAGTACCTGGATTCTGAACCAAGTGGGATGCCTGGTTTTGTGCATCTCATATTTTGCGAATAAGTAGAATAAGCCTTTGTTCTTAAGCCATAATTTTTTTTCCGTTTGGCCTAAGTAGGTGCCTTCTCATGCATTTGTACGCACCCAGCAAGTGCCTGCTGAGGCATAACTCCTACACCTGAAGCAGCTGTAACTGCTTTCCTAACTAGCAAATGCTGCATAACAAAGCAGAAGACTTCAAGGATTCTCCAATCTTTTTTTTTTTTTTTATTACTAATGTGGGTATCACAGTGCATGATGATGTCACACAGAATAAATCTCTTGAGTCAGTTTTAACTGGTACATATAAGCTTTTGAAAAAGTATATTTTTCTTTCATGGCAAGAGCACAATTATATTGGTATTTTCACAATTCTGTTTCAGATGACAAGAAGCAGATGGTTGCAAATGTTGAGAAACAGCTCGAAGAAGCAAGGGAACTGGTATGTTTTGGCTTTTCATATATTAACTGCAAATTCCTACAGAAAATAATAGGATCATTAGCGGTAACGTTTAACACACATGATGCCCTAAAAATATTTAACAATAATATATTAGAAAATGAAATAATATTTTTTAAATAGTTCTTATTTGAGGATATGAAATACCCAAGAGGAATGCATCCTTTGTTAATCTTGTGTTAAGTGATTTAAGGTTTGCATTATCGCTGTAAGTTATCACAGGCTGCTACAGGCTTTGAGTTGTGGATTAGGTCTTTTACTTTAGGAATTGAGTTAAATATTTACACACCTGGACTGTTTGTTTTTTTCTTGTAGGACCTGTGCATCTACTTGATTTAATCTGTCTGATTGTCTTGTAGAGCAGTAGATCTTTTTTTCTCTTTTAGCAGGCGAGGCATAAAGATATTTAGTTGTTTGAGGTCAAGGGGGCAATGGTAGTGTGGATTACTGATGCGAGAAGAGTATATATGTTAATCAAGCATTAGTTAGTGGTCCGCACTGACAGAAGAAAGCAATACATGTTAAGCAACTGTGACCTTTTTGTAATTTGTTCCCATTACAGCCTCTTGTGTCCTCCATCTGGATGGAGCGTAAAAGTAAAGTTTTGTAGATGTGGACTAACTGAGCAAAGGTGTTGGTGACAGTTGAGATTGACTTTTTCCCACATAGCCAATAGTTTCTTGCCTGAAATTGCTTTTGTTTATTGCTTGCAAATGAGTTTGGTCTATCTAGTGTCAGAAATGTAATTTGACTGTTAGGATAGGGAAAGGAAATTAGTTCTTGTAGCCTGAAAGTTCTTATAATTGAGCAACTTGAATCAATT